ACATCTGAAAAAATAAAAATAATTGAAGCCTATTTCTTGAACTATTACTCTTCATTGTTTACATTTAATTTGATTCTGTTTCAATATTTTTCCCAACCCTCTTCTTTTTAACTGGGTAAGACAGACCCATGTAAGATTCACAAAATATTTTTATCACATAGCCAGTGGGGGATGGGCATACATGTGGTCATACAAGGCAGACATTAAGAGGACAGAGGACATGACTTATAGATAAGAATACATGCAGAATTGTACAGGAGAAGTGCTAGCCAACAACTCTATCGCTTCACAACAAATGAAACTGGAACAACACATATGACACTGGACTCTTGCAGAGTAGTCTATTTGCAATGAGCTGTGAGCGCTGTCCTCAAGCATTACAGCAGCTTCAGCTTGCTTGGTCGTGACTGCTTGTGAAAACTGAATGGCAAGTGGTAGGTGTCCAAAATTAGAAAGTAGAAAGCTAAGCAAAAAACCAGATCCTTAGGATCCAAGAGAAATGAACTTAGGTGGCTAGCTGTGGGAGAGAGTGCTGAAAGTGCCTGCCAGCTCTTTTTCTCTCTCACGTTCTCTCTCACTCGTGGGCTGGAATGTCTGGCTACAACTCAAATGTGTTGATGGCCAGAGTAGGGGCAAGTGTCTACAAATCATCTTGGTTTTGTGTCATTAAAATGTATACTCATGAGTACCCTGGGTGGAAAGAACAATACTTTCATGTCAGGTCATCCTCACCCAAATGCTCCTGTTGTTACGTAATCTCCAATCTTTAGTTATCAGACTGTGTACTGGTCCGGAGCGAGCAATATGTTCTAGACCTTTGTCAAAGAGAATAGATTGTTTACCCTAGAAAGCACTGTACTTTTCCCTAAGTGTTTTGGTCCCATTAAATGTAACTTGTGTGTATGTTGCGGGAAGAGACTGCTGAAAATTACTGCTTTGTTCATTTTGAGTTTCACAGAATGTATTCAAAGGCCTAGAACTCCCTATTATAGGCCAGGATCTTTGTACATAATTCAACAAAATGTTTAATAAGAAAAGTAAATAAATCAGGCCCAATTTATCTTTCTTCTGTTTTTCTATATATCAATCTTATACAGCTAGAGTGGGATTGAAAAAAAAAAAAGGCACCTAATGATAGTGAATCTAAATATATTTTGCAGCACTTGCTGAAATTACTAGAAGAAAGCAAATGAAGCTGATAGCAGCAAGTGGACTGGTTGTAGACTATGTGAGGTTAAATGAAGGTAAGTGAGATCTGCAAGTAGCACTATAAGTTGATACTTTCCATTTAGTTCATGTTTTGAACTGAGTTCCAGATTTTCTGGCTAACATGTTTCTTCTAATATCACATTATTACCTGAACCATGTCTTACCTTGAAAGTACAAGCAGAAGTCTGTATTTTCATGATGTGTTTTTTCAACTTGCAGCATTTGAAAGTACTAATGCAGGCAAATACCTAATATTTTACTGTAAGTTTAATGAACAAGAAGGCAGGAAATATAGAAAAGCAGCCTCTCAGATGTGTTTTCTTCTGCAATATGATTACTGAACATGTGTTTTCTTTCAAAACACCAGAGGATGTGGAACATTTCTGTTTTTACTTCTTGTGTCTTTGACCCCCTGAGTGCAAAGATTCATTTTTTAACATTACGATTGAAATTTCAATTGCATTTCCAGGTTATTAAACAGGAAACACGGCTTGTAGGTTGTATTAGCCTGATATCATCTTGTTTAGGTAAAGAGGTGTGACTGGATGTAAACATTTTTCTCTGACTAATGAAGATTAATTTAAAACTCAGAATGGGAAGAAAGCTAAAGCCTAGCACACAGAGGCTGTCCATATGAGGGACTGAGGACTATATTACTTTGCTGAGAATTGGTATCCGACATTGTGCCTCAAGAGCAGTTACACAAAGGTAAGGCTCCACAGTGGTAGATAAAAGAAAAAAAGAATACAGAATATAATTTTTCCTCCAAATGGAGCTGAGCTAGGTGTACAGGCAAGAAGATTCCCACAAATTAGGAGATCAACAGGCGCTATTCTGAGAAGACACCTCTCCTTTTATTAGGTCAGCCTTCAGGTAAACGTGGAGCCTGGCTGTCTCAAAAGGTGAGATTCACCCACAGAAGGACTTCTACAGCTTCTTTACATACTGTTTTTAAAAGTTATAACCAAAATGCAAAAGATATGTAACGGAAATTCTTACTGAATGTCAGAAGCAGGTGAGAGAATTTTAATTTTCTTTAAGGCTGGTCCCCCTAGCAAGAAAAGTAATTTGGCAAGCAGAGCTTGAGTTAGCAATCTTAACTTTGATCCATATTCCTAAAATGATAAAGGAGGAGTAGACTACTGGAGCCATCAGGAAGGAGGGGTAACTCTTTTTCATCAATGCTCAGCTTCTGTACTACACAACTCTGTAAGGGTACTGGTAAAAATCAAGCTGAGAGGAAGAAGGTTTCCCAGTAGGTCATTAATTACCAATGTTGAGCGCTCCATTATGAACACCTATTCCTAGCTCCCTTTCTAGGAGCCTATACTCAACAACCAATGCAGTGGTTCCCAAATGTTGTAGCGCATGCTTCCAAGCAGCAGGATGCTAGCATGGACATAACCAGGCTGGTTAAAGAGTACTAATACGATAAATAAGATGCTTTCAAGAAATTAGAATCTGCTAAGTCAAGTTCTATTATTACACAACCTTGTAAGGAGTGAAACTAATTCAAATAAAATTTCCTTGCCAAAAATGAAAACATGTGGTCTCTTTTGTGGACAGTTTCCAAATTTCAAAATATTTGACTGTTATGGTTAATAGCATTCTAAATGCCATGAATCTTATATGTTTTCAGGGGTCATTGTGCTTTTTGTCATTTCTGCTGTTGGGATGAGCTTTTTCAGCTGCACAGAAAATTCCTAGATGTTATATCCTACTTCAGTTTAGACTGACAGGGATTTCTAGTTAGCAGTCAGTCAGTTCTGTGTCTGTGACCAAAACAGACAAATAAGCAGTTTTGATACATAGGTTTTATAACTGTAATACACAAATGCTATCAAGTTTGCTTCTGTCTGGTATATTAGGAATCTAGCCATGCCACTAAGTGATTCTCTGTGTTACATATAAGTGAATAGATATAGAAAGAAAGTGCAGATCCTTCTGTTCAATATTTATTACCTGTGATTGCTTTGGAGGCTGCAAGAAAAGACAAAATTGCTGAAGACCAGTCAAATTACTTACAGTGTGAGTAACATTTGTGTTCAGATGTCCATAGATTTCTGTTCCTGTCTGTGGATTTCACCTATCTCACAAAGTTATTTATAGTGTGAAATTGCAATCACTTTTTTGTCTTTATGAGATAAATCTTTACTGTGCTCAAGCAAAAACTATTGAATGTTCAAACAACTTTGATGTTGGCATGCACACTAGCTCAAATCTGTTGAGCCAGCTAGCTTACCATCTGGGAAAATTCTAACTTTCAGTTTTGTTTCATATGTTGGAACTATTCTTGTTTCTTTTCTTTGTTCATCTCTTTAATTTACTTATTCTCCCAATTCCTACCCACTATTTCTTTTTCTTTTTTCTACCTTAGAACATTATCATTCTGGACCATGCAGTGTCCATTTTTAAAAATCTCTGCTAATTCCTGTTGTTGCTACATGTAATTTCATCCAGACTTAATCACAGACCTATGATATACTCAGCATTTCTGTTAAGACCAACACTGAAATCAACATAATTTTACATGTTGGAGATTTTAGAGTGTTAAACTTGAATCATAGCCCTCAAAAGCTGAACACTATTTTTCTGTGACCCATTTCCTTCAAGCTGGTCAGAAGGTATGAAGTGCTGCATGTGAGTGTTACAGGAATTACATGCAGAGATGCACAGAATATACTACTGCAAGAGGACAGTGCAAGATAAAGCAATATTTTACCATTGTTGTTGGTGTTTACTCCAAATATGTACAGAGGCTTCAGATTTCAAAATAACTTGTGCAGTATGTGCAAGGAGTTGAACATGTGCTACTAATGAATTGCACAGAGAAAAATGGCTCAAATATAATACTAATTGTAGAAAACAGCCTTAAATAATATTAAGGCCATGATTGGTGGAAAAAAGGCCACAGATGCAAAACTAAGGCCAGAATTTTTTTCTAGACCTTAGTGAAATGAGTTCTTCCTCATTTACTAGCATAGTTTAGAAATTTAAGAGTCATGTCAAAGTCAGATTTAAACATAAAAATATGTAATCTCAAATATCTTCATCTAAACACTCCAAAATAAACACACTTGCTAAACTTTTTTTTTTTAAATGACCAACATCAAAATAATGTCCCCTAGTTTTCCATACTCAAGCTTTTTAAATTCTGCCAATTTTCTCAATTTGTAGGAGAAAGCAGCATCTTGGGCTAATGCTTTTTGTGCTACAATGTGTAGCAGAGGCATTTGTCAGTAACTGAAAATGTCACTTCTAAAATCAATAGATTAAACAGTGAACTATGAATATGTTGAATGATCTTCCTTTACTGATTCTTTTAATATGACAAAGATGACAACTGATAAAGACTGCAGTGCCACATATTATGACCTAAATCCAAGTTCACATCTAAGAACAAGAGAAAAATCAATTAAAAAAGGTCTGGCTTATTATATGATGACCTTATTTGAAAGCTTAGTTGCTTGGCAATGATTCATCTACCTAATAAATGCTGTCAGACATAATTAGAAAAAAATACTGAATAAAATTTTCCATATGTTTTATAGAAAATTTGTTATTTCACACTTGAAACCGCGGATAGGTAATCAGCAGATATAAGTTGTCTTAACTCCACTGAAAGCAAAGCAATTTTTTGCCATCTGAGGATCTGCCTCTTTTCTTTGATGATTTTATAAATGTATCTGTATTAAATTTGTAATGCTGATTTTTTAAAGAGGTCCCATAACTTCTTGCATAGCATTAGGACTGATGGGGAATTTTCCATAAATCAGAACAGTCCACAGCATAGAAAGAATGTATTTACTATTATTTGTTTTCCATCTATGCACTTGGTCTAATAAAAGCATTACTATTCCCTGCAGTCTTGCCATGGCTTATTTCTTAGTGGCTTTTCAAAGAGACATTTGAAAATATCAAGTGGTCAGACATTTCTGGAACTATTAAAAATTAGCCGAGAAAATGGTTATATTAAGAAGTATAGAAACTATGAGAGTAATAAAGGTCTTTATATATATAAATTCTAAATAAATCTCTGAAAGTATCATCCTTATAGTTCAATGGCCTGATTCTTCCTTTATTCTTACTAACAACAGGAAAACTATTTGCATTCATTCATTCCTGGAAGAAGACAAATTCACTGTTTTAAATGAAAAAAAAATTCAGATGCCACAAGTGAGAATAAAACAAAAGTTTTCTGGAGCATCAGCAGCAAAAAGTGACAATGTTAACTTTGTTATTCTCTCTGCTGCATACCTATATGGACCTTTAAATTCCCTGCTATAGCTGTTGCCTTCTCCTCAGTCAGTATGGGGTGCAGTTGGTAATCTTTGCTTAGATTGAATCTGCCTAAAAATGTTTCTCAAGGAAGAGTCATTGCCACGAGTTTTTATCACCTAAGCACAGATGCAGAAGGTCACTGTTCCCAGTACTGATGCAATCAGTGGAGTTTCCTGATAAATGCTGCATGCATTGATACATTAACATTCCCTGCACCAATACTGCTAAGTAATTGACTTGCACGTCTATACTGTTACTAAAGCCCACAATGCCATGGCCAAGTTTAGCATGTGTTTTTGAAATAATCTGACTGCTTGCATTTTAAATATCTAATTATCAGTATGGTTTTTACCTTCTTGGATATGTCACCAAAACTGTTGTAAGAGGTAGCTTTGCACTTCAAAGTGAAATGGGTCTGAATAACAAAGTATGCAAGCAAACAAAAGTGAAATTTAAAACTTTCATACAGAGGTTGCTAAATCTCTGCTACTCCAAAATATCTTTTGGGTTTGATTTCTGACATTTGAGCACTCTACTGTGTGTTGAGAATCTGAAGCCTTTGCACCATCAGTCAGGAGAATGACATTTGTACAAAGAAGGAAATAAATAGTGAATGTTTTTTCCAGTTACATCAACACCTGGGTTCTTGTATCAGGAAGCCGAAGTCCTACCAGACCTCCACATACTAGAACAGTAGAAGCAAGGAGAATAGGGATTGCTTTGGTGATACCAACAAGGGAACCAAATATTAGGTTTCCAAGTACAGCTGCAGCTTTGCATAGTGCATTCAGAAAGCCAAAGCCTGTTGCCCTAGAAGAGAAAACAAAAGAAAGTTAAAATACAGGTGAAAGAGTAACACCTTTGAGACACATCCTCAGTGCGAACAAATCAGTACGGTCCCAACAGCTTAAAGAAAATGTATGCCAATAAGGATTCTGTGCTCACATTCAGTGCTCTTATTTGAAATGAGAAGTTAAAGCTCAGCTGCTACAGTATTTCATTGAGGCAATTAATTTTTCTGCCTCAGGGATCAAAATGTGAAATGAATGACTGAACGGGTGAGTTTGCACCTCTAGAGTTGAACATGGAACTTGCAAATGGAAATTCAGTACAACTTAAATGGCTACATTAGGAGAGCAGACATGTCAAGTAGCTCCCAAAGGAGAACTGCTTTGTCATCTGTGTGATGATTACTAATCAGAATTAAAGGATGATCATCTTAGGGTACTGAATTAAAACTGAGTTTCTTACAGGTGGTACACATGTCGAAAGAGTGCTTTTTCAAAGGCTAATGAGACTTCTAGTATTAAAATGAATGTTCATCTCTTAGGGGTAAAGAAGATAAGGTATAAAAAAATCTGTTGAGTGAAAGAGGTATCTGAGAAAATTTGGACAAAAGGAAAAGGAAACAGACTGCCAAGAGAAAGTATGACACCCATAATTCAGGTGGAGTTTGGCATTACAGTGATGTGACTTTAGTAGTTTGAAGTATTTTTATTATTTTGTAATTCTTGCATATATGTCTTATGCAAACTACCATAATTTAAATTGTGTTTTGACATGACTGTATGATTCATTGATGCAGGAATAAGCTTGCCCTACCAAAAGTTTCCTAACAAAGATGTCTGTGTAATGGTAGAATGCGTAACATTTGTCAGCTCTCAGAAATTCAAGAAAATAGTTGCTCTAATTTTCAGACAAAATATTTCTTGCTTGTACTGCAATTAAAAGCCCTAGTCTAAACAACAGGAATTAAGAGAAATGCTAGTTTTCTAAGTGACTTAAAAGGCTCTGCTTATTCTACTGAAGCACCTGTGAGCGAAAGGAAGAACTCTTATGCTCAGATGCAGACTGAAATCCTGGGAAATTTCAAAAGCTTCTACTGGGGCTACTAAAGAGGAGCCAAGAAAATCAACTTGAAGTAAGAATACTTGACTTCAGCTGAGAGCAAGGATACAGTGTATCAATGCTCTCTGCAGAACAGATTTTTGTTTTTGAAAACAGCAAACAATTATATCAAGGCATGAGAGACCCTCTGTCTGAAGCAACTGATTGACCTGGCCGCAGCCCAGAGTGTCAGAGTCCACCTCCTCTGCTCTTTGGCAGATCTGTACCTCAATAGTGTAGATCACCTAAGCCTTTTGGTGTCATGCTTCCAGGCTGTATGCCTGCGGAGTGGTAAAGGCTTCAGTCTGGCAGAGGCGACCAGGATACAGTGGCTTTCAGCACTGTCCATGCCCTGTCCGGGATACTGTGCTTCAGAACAATACCAGTCCCAGTATATTTGAGGACCCTTCATCAAAAGAATGATGACTAGGTCTAGATCCTTCTTATATATTCCTAAAATACTGTGGTTTGCTCTAAGAAACATAATTCCATCATTCTAGTTAACCCACAAAGTCAGCTCCACAATCTGAACAACACTTGGAGTGTTCCCTTTTGAAATAATGGAGGCTTTCCTTTTGAATTCTTAAATAATTTAAAAGAATGTCTGCATGTCTTAAGACATGTAATGTACTAATTAATACACCTTCAAATAGTTTTTTTCCATTATATTAAATATTAATTTTCTATTGTTGCAGGCCAAAGTCAGTTCCCTTACATAAAATACTGTAAAAGTAAATTCAGAAGAGTTGACAGTGTTCTACTGTTAGCTTTGTGTATTATGTCTTTTCTGAATCTGGGACAAAACACAAATTACTTTTTTTTTTTCTGGATGATTATATATTTATGTGCTATTAGTCTGGCAATATGTCTCTTGCACCCCCTAGCAGTATTTTAATCTCTGAAATGTCTAATATTCAGCAAAGAAATCACTGTTTTTTCTGAAGTAAGCACAATTCCTCTTTGTGTAAAGCGTGGCATCCATCCAGACAGTGCATGACACTAAGTATTGGCAGTATCAAAGGAAAAAGAGACAGGCAATTTCTACAGCAGAGTAGAATCTATCCAAATAATCTGTGGGAAAAAACAAGTACAGGAGATCTAGATATGTCTCTTACATGTTGAAAGTCTTTATTTACTTGTTTTACATATATTTGATTGAACCTGCAGTACTTTTACAAAACACATAGTGCCAAGGAAACCTAAACATGCACATCCCGGACATAACAATTTTGAAAATGACAGGTTCTTCCCTCTGGCAGCCAGGACCCCCAAGGCCTGCCAGAGAGCACATTGCTGAGAGCAGCAGATGAGGAAACTTGGGGAAGTGTTGTGTTTGGAAATTTCTGACAGAGAAACATTTGCAGCAGCTCCTTGAAAATACCCTTTTCAAAGGAGAAATGAGCAAGGTAAAACATTCCCATTCTAAGTACTCTCTTTGGAGAAATGGGTTTGAAGGAGGAGCGTGAGATACACTGAAGGAAGCAGAGAAGAGCATCCTACTGGAGTGAATTTCCAAAGCCTAGGAGAAAATAGGCAAATGTCTAGCATGGCAACATTTGTGGTCCAGGGACATATAAAGCCCAAAATATTTGGAGGAATATGACCCAGGATGTGGTGTAGCTACTGAGAAGGAAGGAGCCCAGACTGATAGATCTTGTAGGGTTCACAAATCACAGAGTGGGTAAGGTTGAAAGGGGGCACAGTGAGTCACCTCGTCCAACCTCAAAGCTCAAACAGGGTCATTTTAGACCAGCAGGTCTGTCCCCAGCCTGCACTGGTTATTCTTCCTGAGGTGCAGGACCTTGCATTTGCCTTTGTTGCATTTCAGATGGCTCTTCTCTGCCCACATCTCCAGCCTGTCAAGGTCCTTCTGAAGAGCTGCACAAAGCGTGCAGGTAGGCAGGAGATTCCTGAGGAAAGGGCTTTGTTAAAATAGACAAGCAGGTGTAAAGAGGTTAAAGATAACACAACTAGACTGGAAAACCAAGTTTATGTGATAGGATAACAAGAGATTGCAGCTATTCTGAAGAACTCAAGGAAAAGAGTCAGAATGGTTCTAATGTTAGCCTCATTTATGCACAGAAAGTACTTCTAAAGTTATGGTGGTGACTGGTTGTGATCAAAGTCTGCACATAAATATGATTTTCTTGGTTGTCAATGCTGATGTAAAATCAAACTTAACTCCAAGTAACAGTAACAGAAAAAAAAACCACAGAAAAACTAGACACCTAGTCATCAACAGCCTCAGTATATTCAGAGATACCAGAACTCCCCAAAGAATACGCAGATCCAGCTAAAACAAATTCGGATAGATACAGGCAGGAAATCTTTGGAAAAACAATAGCACGGAACACATGGGGATGTTTTACTTATGTTTAATGTTGTTTTATACTACCTTATAAAGAAAGGTAAGCTGTTTCACAGATGTTAGCTGCTTATATCAACTAGTTATGACAGTGGTCTGAATATGATTTTCTGAGCAATTTGAACCATTTCTTTTCATGTTCTGATTTCTACAGATGCCATTGTTCTTTGGATCTACTATTGATTATATAACCAACATTACTATACCAGGTTCTAAGGTAATTTTGTAGTACATACAATACTTCTTCTGTCTGAACAAAATAAAAATTTTTTTTGCACTTAAAAACCAATTCTGTTAGTAAAATGGACTTACAGAATTTTGCTGATTGTAAGGGGTTTTTATTAGTCTAATCCCATTAGTATTATCAAAATAGAAACAAATCAAAGTAAGAAAAAGTAAGCTCATTTTATTGCCCTTAGCTGTCCTGATAATTAAAAAATTAACAACCCAGAAGAAGTTGAATCTTTTAATCTTTAAGCAGACTTCATTCATGTCCTTTTGCCTAAAATAAGCATGTAATTGGCATGAACAATAAGATTTTAACAAGCTTAGAGTAAATTGTTGTTATGACCTGTACCTGAAAAGCATTGTCACTGTTTAATCCTATACCTTCATGCCCTTCAATTTTAATAATGTGTTTGAATGTGTTTGTACTTACAGTCAGAACAAGGTGTCAAACGATTATGGAGCTCTAGGTGCAGCAAATTCAGACTGCCTGCTTTTTTAGAACATCCTTCTTAGAACAGTGTTTGTGTTTAAAACTCTTGAAAATCTGTATTAATTCATGCTTTTATAACTAATTCTTCTGAGTCCAGGGAAATAAAAATAGCCAGGAAATAAATATGCTGCAAATCACACATGTGTATGACTACAGTCTCTTGCAGCATTAGTACAGTAGTCTCTGTTACAATGTTTGAGGAAAGTCCAAGAGTATCAGCAAATGATTAAAGTTAAGTGATGTATCATCTTAACATGATGAACAAATTAAGTGAAAAATCCAAAGGGAATAGCACCATTTATATGTGCTCCCATTTTCTTTGTGTTGATCCATTATTGGACAAACATTTGCACAAAAATGTCATGTTGACTTCATGAGTAATCCTCATTACTAGTGAAGGGAGACCAGTCATAAGTAGCAAGAATCCTTTGTCCAGCTAGAGAGTTCATTTAAGTCTTTCAGGCACATCAGTACGAAAATGCTGGTTAATCAATTTAGGATTGTCTTTAAAAAACCCCAGATACAGAATTTAGTATTGATAGGAGAAAAATGCAAATGTCTTTAATAAAAATGTCAGCATGAAGAGAAAGCTGGATGTTACTGAAAAGGAATTTTCCCCAATGTATTTTACTTCTGCTGTTGAGAAAGCTGTGACAAAGAAAAATGCTTAGCTTCCTTTCATCCAAGGTCCACATAAAAATGGCAAGAGTCCAAACAGTTAAAAATAGAGGGATTATCCAAGTCTTTAGATTAAAAGAGCTTGTTTCCTGATTGCCACATATGTTCCTTCTTAGACCAGATGCTTGTATTCCTACATAAAATACTTCAGATCCACTTTTCCACTGCTGATAAAGCATCTAAAAACTTCATTGTCCTGTGGCAGAGTGCTACTAAATGCGTAGCACAAATATTTGTTATCTATCTTGCCAGAGCAATTTACAAAAATGGCAAGTTACAACAAAATGTTGTTAGAATTGACAATATGTAAAGAATTAAAATGAGTATCCAAATATTCTATGGACAATTTTCCATGCCCAGATATTTTCATATTCTCTTAAAAAATTAGTACAGAACCACATATCATGTAGTTCATGGCTTGATCAATTATAGTGCTTAGTGTGCAAGTAAAAGTGTGGAATTTGCCTTCCTTCCTCGGACTACTGCAAAAGGCATAGGTGTGGCAGGTCATGCCTTAAGAACTTTAAAATTTTAGCAAAATGTAATTGAGCTATATCCACAGGATGAGAGTAGAAAATAGCTGTGAGGAAATCTACTGTAAGTCAATTACTACTATTATGACTCAAAAGAATATAAAATGTCTCTTCTTTTTCTTCTCTTCATCCACATCAATACAAACTTGGAGATAAGATACTGTGAGAATAATATTTATTGTTCTGAACATAGATCCTAAGGGTTCAAGAAGTGAAAAAATTAAAAATCATGAACTGAAGATAGACTTATTTCCTAATTATGGCCAAACCGTTATGAACTTTTTTCAGAGGCATTTAAAAAAGGGAAAACAGGATGACTTAATTTTATAGATCTCCTTGAATTCTAAGTGTTCCTGGACAAGATTCAAACCCAGATCTATAGCAGCCATAGAAAAATGATGAATTGTTGGTTATCTGATTTATTCTCTATGTGGAAGTTGATCTATTTCTATTCCACCTTCTATTTAGGTTTTAGTTATTTCTTGTATCATCTTCCTAATGAGAATCTTGGCTTATAATGCTGGTGCTTCCCAAGTTCACAAGAAGACACTTACCATTTATGTGAAAGTAAAAATTGCCTTTTAAAGTAATAAAAATGTCCTAAGGTTTTTTCTTCAGAGAGCTTAAGCTTTCTTCCAACCTGTATTTTTATTACAGGCAGAGCTGAGGAACTGTGCAGTGTTATTGCAGGCCCCTTGGGCACACACATTACAACGCAAGCTGTAATTACCTCATCACATAATATTTTTTTTCCGCATCACTCTGCCAATGCAGAGAACAAAGAGGGCTTGAGGGTAAAACATAGAGGTAGTGAAGAAAACTTAGTTTCCCTCATCTACTAGAGAAGTTGGAAGATGCACTGTGAGTAAGATTTGGAATTGCACAATGAGAACACAGTTTCATGGTTAAGAGAGTGGAGTGCTGTCAGAGGAAAGGATAAAACCCCTACTCCTGTCGCAGAATTTGCATACGATGCAAGCAAATCCCAAAAAACCAACAAAATGGTCTTTAGGCACCCATTTCATATTTTCTAGGTGCTCAGCTTAGCACATTCAGGTTTATGCTGCTGGAGTGCTAGGCACCTATGGCTGTATTGAAGTTACACTTTCAGCCCATTCCTCCTTCTAAAATGCTCAGTGACTGTAATTTTTGGTGTCACACACTCCAGCCTACAGATTTCTTCTCCTGATGGATGGCAGAGTCCATTAAGAATATAAGGTAAAGAGAGGTAAGATAAGAGACAAGAGAAAATAGAAGTTCTTTATATTCTTGAGCTGTATTAATTTACTTGCTTGTTGGAAATCACTAGCTAGTTTATATCTAGCTATCATGGGTGTCTTTTAAAGTTTGCATATTTAAAAGTTTAAAAAATGGTAGGATGTTATCAAAAGCATTATTAATTACTTCATCTAGAAGACAGAAAGACACTTATGACCAACATTAGTAACCATTTGAACCATGGAAATTATTTTCCATTTGAACACAACTTCATCATTTGCCTGAGAAGCATTTGAAATTTATACATCCTCTAATATCTATTACAGCAGTTGTACAAACCAGCTGATGTTTTATGAAGAACATGAAAGCAAAAGCTAACCTAAAATAGCATAAAATTTGGCAGTACTCATCAAGAAAGTAGGACAAACTATGTAGTTACCTCAATTCCAGGGATCAGTAAACTAAAATGTAAATATATTGACGAGTGTGAATTTATACAAAATCGAAATCTATCAAGATTTTGAAGCAACTATAGCTGATGAAGAATAAACTGAAATATGTACCCTGTGTCACATAGACTGCACATTGCCAAACTGTTTACCACACTCCTACCTGGCTAAAAGCCAGTATGATCCCTAAAAACCTAGAATACAATTTATTAAATACCTTTCATACTATACTGCATGACACCAGCAAAGCCCCTGCAGTTCAACAACTGGCTGGTCTGCAAGAGGAGGAAAAGGAGGGGCTACCCAGTCCAGCTTCTTGTGCGTGGTAGCATGAAGTGGCCTCCTTCCACCCATCTATCTTTGAGCCCAACCTCCAGCTACCCTTTGCTGCGCATTTGTGCTCATTTCACTGACAGGCTGTAAGAAAATAGTATTAAACACTGACAGAGTAAGCAAATATTTTGTGCTTAGATTCCCTTTACAGGAGAATCTGGAAGCCAGTTTCAGGACCAGATTCACTCTGGAATTTGTTTTGCTTTTGCTTTGTAGCAAAAGAGAATATCATCTAAAGTACAAAGGATTTTACATGAAAAAACAGATTAGGAACCTTCATGTTCCACATATGCTGAGAAAGGCTGTTCACCCCTACAGTTACTTGCAGAAGCTGGAAATTCCCAGGAAACTGTGGCAAGCTGTGCTGGTTATGGAGATCACAGGAGTCTGAGAAAGAAACCCAGGACTATGAGAGGCGAGCAATGCTGGTTGTTAAACTGCAGCTAGTCTGGATTAAAAAAAACCCCAATTATCAGACAAAAATTCTTGTAAGCAAGTTATTTGAGTCCCTGAATGTATTAATTTTCAAAATGTTCTACAAAATAAGAAGTAGCTTTGCCCATATACAAAAAATCTTGAATTGGTTGTTTACTCATAACCAAGCTGGCAAAAACTAGCAGTCACGATTCCATCACTATCAGAACGTCTGGGAAAAAGTCTCATCAAAAGCCTATGTCAACAATGTCTTTCCAGGCACAGGTATGTTTACCCATCAGCCTTTTTGTACTGATAATTCAAGGGGACAAGTTTTTTCTCTGATTTGTTGCAAAAAACAACTCAGCTTCAATTAAGTTTCTGTTTCTGGACAGTACTTCCTGCATACAAAAGATTTTTAAATAGAGAAAAGTTGAGTAAGAAATTGCTGTAATCCCAAAGCTAGTAGAATCTATGAAAACCAACCATTTGTAGATACAACTATAGATGCCTTAACACCTGTATAGATATATATAGATAAATATCAGTTAAATTATTTTTATGATTCCTAGTAATGATTTTTTTTTTCTATTAACAGCAATGACTTTTCCAATTATTTTTCTTTATTCCATTTTAGGAAAACATATGTGGCCATTACATTCAGCAATACCCAAAAGATGGTCATTTCTACAGGATATTTATTAAAATTATTTCATAGCATTTGGATGGTGGAAGTATTCTTGCCAGAAGAGCAATTTCCTGAGGTGCATTAAAAATACTAGCAATATTGAAGCTCAGTGCCTGGGATTCATAAATAGACTGGTATCGTTACTTGATATAATTACATCTGTGGACATCAATTTCTTGTCTGAAGAAGCACATAATTTTAAAATGACAGTGAAAGGAAAACAGGGAAGCCAGTCTACACTTTTCTATATATCTTTATGGACAACGTTAAAGAAAAGGTAACTCCTTTCAAAGAAATTACACTTGCCAGTAAGGCATCATTCATTTATAAACTGGAAATATTTTTCACCGCATTTCAAATATCCAGTGGATGACATAATATTAAGCACTGCAATAGGAGAAAGGACACGATGTCCTTTTTAAGGAATCTGGGAAATTTTACTTAAATATTTTTAGGGATTTGAGAGGGGGGAAGTATTAAAGTCATTTCAAGATAGCACAGCTTTTACATTTTTGCACTCCCCTTACAACAGAGTATGACTCAACAGTTCTTCCTTCAGTCCACTAAGTGGCGTAAGATCAGGATTAAAAAGTGCCCTATATCCAAAAAAAGCCCCATCCTATGTTATCTAGCAGCAATGCAGGATTTGAAAATTGTCCTGAGATTTCCTGCAAGAGCCCTGAAGAATCAAGAGCAGTGCCCAAGGTAATTTCTACCCACTTAGTGTACACTCCTAGTGGCCCCCCATACAAATTCACGGCAGACTGATCAGCAGCACAGCGTGGTTCAGACAGTGATTTTTATCATGATTCCCACCACTTCACAGTCAACAGACAAATGCAGCTGTATTTCTGGTTTGGACCAACTACTGCCCTTTTATACAGTTAAACTACAGGAAACTCAAAGATACTCCATTATTGTTTTCAGAAATACTAGCTGTGTTTTAAATTAGAGTAGCTGTTAGACCTTCTGCTTTCAAATGAAACTACATTTATGGTATTTTCCTGATTAGGAGATATTTCATGCAAATACATACTAAGTTGCTCAAAACCCTTCATTGTTTCCCTTTGCTTTTCATAGAACAAATTATTAATTTGGCCCTCTCAAAACACCACTAACTCCATAAGGCCCATATAAAATAATTTCTATTTGCCATTTCCGCTGGTACATAGTTTCAGTGAGTTTATGGGAGATGTAACCGCACATACCTTCTGTCTGTAGGATACAGCTCCACAGTAATAACATCTAGAGAGTTCCATGCTGAGATGGTGAGGCCATTGTAGAGGCACAGCATACCTATCATCATGGATTCGCTGGTCCCAAACCACAGGAAAAAACAGCTGATGCCAGAAAGAACCATGGAACCACCTAGGTACAAGGCAGGTGAAACAAACATGTAGTGGAGTTGTATATAAAGAATAACCTTCTTTTTGCCTTATATTTCTATGCACACAGTGTAGCTAAATAAGTGACCCAAATATTTGAGTTAAAAACCAAAGAGACCCCCTCCACTGGTAAGGCCAGACAGAAAGACAAATGCTGAAGAAAGCAGGTCACAAAAAAGATATGACTTCTCACATATATCACAAAGCATTAAGTTGGAAGCCTCTGTGAATTCCCAAAGCAAGATGCCTGAGCAAAACTACTCCCATTATTCTTTGTTCATCATCTTTTGCTATTACATGAAACATGTTCATATATTATAATAAAAATGCTGTATTTATTTTCTGGTATTTATATAGAGATATTGTCCTAGAAAATAATGAAAATGAACTACCACATAGTTATTTAAACAAATTGAAAACAGATTTCCCATTGTAGACAATCCGCAGGAGATACCTTTCAACTGTGTTCCTATGCAAAATAGATGACAGACAAAGAACAGCTGATACTTTCCAGGAGCTGCTCCACTAGCTGAGGGTCACCTGTGCACACCTTTCCTTCCTTTCAGCTGAAGCAGAGATAAACCAATGGTCATCAGTCTCCAAAATCTCATTCTAAATGCCTAGAATTTAGAATTTAGACCATGGTCTTGTAATATCTGTGGAAGAGCAACTACAGGTGGCCACAGGTCCCTTTTTTCCCTAGAGTTTCAAAACTGGGGGCTTTTAAAAATAGTATTTATGATGGCACATAAATGACAGCACATAAATGACATATCCACAGAAAGAATGTTTTTCATTTCTCTAGCCAAATTCCTTGAAAAGAGGACATGTTACTTTTGATGTTCCCTGTACCAAAGTGAAGCCCCTACCTAGCATCGTTAACCGTCCTATTCTATCCATCAGGAGAGCAGACACAATATTTCCTGGTAATACTGCCAAAGTTCCCAGGAAATTAACAAAGTAGATCCAGTAGGCACTGTAGTCATCATCAAAAGAAATCTGGCATCCTGTCCTGACGTGAAAAAATGTGCAATTTATCAATTCACTGTCAACAAATTTATACTGCTCGAGATCTGTGGAAAGAAGAAAAAGAATAATTTCACCTAATAGCCAACTCCATGTGCAACTTTTGATTAAAAACATTTCAAATTCAAGCAAATGTAATGACAACTTGGAGCTTTCACAGCTTTGCAAAAAGGGCACTTAGTTGCTGCTGGTAATTTTGATAGTTTTTATCTTACTAGAAAAATTTGCAAAGCTCTTGAAAAGGACCAACTAAAGCATGGAATTAGGAAGTTATAGTACTGTATGTTACCCTGGCTGGACTGTATTTGGTTAAGGCCTTTCAGCACCAGCTGGTCTTGCATAAAATGTGCTAGGTATCTGCAAGTTTCTATGACTCAGTCTTTCTCAGTATCAGGCCTACTATTTCCTGATGAGACTGTCAATTGTGGTCATTTTGGTTTGACTTCCTTTAAGGGAAATATTCCTGTGGAATTTAGTTTAAACTGATTTTTGTTTCTGAGAAGGCCTCATGGTCTTCAGCTTGTCCATAGATGAGTTAGTCTACATAGTTGATTCTTCTGCCAATACCATTCCAGAGAGCTATCCCTGAATTCCTTTTATTTTCCCATTCCTTTTGTCAGCCTTATAAACGTGAACCAAGAGCACCTTCCTTCCACACTGAAGTCATTGCTTGCTCTGAAACCCAGGTCTGTTACTGTTATGACTGCTGTAGTTACAGGAAAGTGGGAAGAAGTGCCCCATCTTTTCAACAAGCTTAGCTGGCCATGTTCTACTTTCAGTTATGTTTTATTAAACTGGAAAAAAATGAAGTCTTCTGTTTAAACATATGAAAATATGGATTTGTATTTTTGTCACAATACTTAGGAGATTGGGAATGAATATAGACCAGGTAATTTGGATCCTATACCCGTGCCACAGCAAGCAGAGTGAACAAAGCATTTCACCAGACCCTTTTGCTCTAAATAAAAATACAGTAGTTAAAGCTACCAGTAAAATGGGAAATGCATTTTCTTCTCTCCAGACTGAATCTCTTCAGAGATGGTTGAAATCAAAGATGAAAAATAAATCACTTATTATGTGAATAAAATAAATAATTCATTTTCCGAGGCACTATTAGGCCTGCAGTATCTCTTGTGCAGTGAGATCCATTCACTTCTCTGTTGTAACATGCTAGCTGCTTTTTATAAATTATTATTCCTATTATTATTATTATTATTATTATTAGTAGTAGTAGTAGTAGTAGTAGTAGTAGTAGTAGTAGTATACTACAAGAGGACTTCTTGTATGTCTTATTAGAAATCCAGAAATTATAAATGTAAGATGAAAACATGCAGCTGACCAATGGGCATTTGAGGCTGTTTCTCATACCTGTGTTGTAGAAGGTGGTATTCACGAAAGTACAGTTCCTGAAGTATGTGTTCAGTGAAGTGATGTCTTCAAAAACACAGTTCTTAAAAAGTGAATCTTCAAAGGTTACTGATTTAAACTTCATCATAATAAACCTGCCCAATGCAAAGAATTGCTGTCAATTTACCTTCATAGTTTTGAAATAGCAACAGATGCAGCTGTTTAGATCTAAAAAATCTCTATCCCAGTAACAATGGTTCCTTTGATGCATTTTGCAGATGTGATTAATGATTAACTCAATCTAGATACTATTGCTCAGAAGAATTAGCAAGACAAGTAACACCACGCAGTTACTGGCCCAAATTGGTAATATAATTTATTTGATAATATTTCTGTTGTTACTTGTCCTTAATCATCAATCAAAACCAATGTCATGAAATTCATGAGACAGCCTTGTAAAATCACAATTGCTAGTAATTTGACATTACATCTGGAAACAGGGAGATCATGCTTCAGCTATTCAGTCCCTTGGAATAAACAAACACTAGCTAATACCAACAAGCTGAAAATAAAGAATTTTTAAAAGAAACTTGATTTGTCAGAAGAACACACTGGTTACTGGGTTAGGCTCAAATGCAAAACACACTGGTGTTAAAAACTGTTTTCACAAATGGCTATAACATGAATAAAAAGTTACATTGCCAGTTACACAGCTAGACATCTAACTGTAAGTATGTCATTAATTCTGTGCCTATGGATGCAATTATAATTATAATTACTATGTATATAAAACATAAAAAGTTTGCTATGTACATAAAACATAAATAGGCAGCTTTTTTATTTATGAACATCCTCCTTCCTACTGACTCTCATTTAACTGAGATTTTATCAAAATAAAAATAGAAAAATCAGTGACAAATTATATTACATACAGCGACTTTCTACCCCAATGTCACTAGACTAAAACAATGCTTTTTTGAGTATGACTTTTTTAGTAAAATTCTACCAAATAACATGATCATGCTAACATAAGCAACCTCAACAAATATGTGGAATGGCATCATTATTTTTGTGATGTCTTTTATTTCACACGAAGGTGTGGAAAAAAAGGGCAGTTTTTTCTTCCAAACACAGATCCAACCTTATTCTAATCAAACCTAGTGTCACTAGCTAAGTATTATTCTTATAAGAAGAGTAATAGTAGGAATAGGAACACAAAAAATATGCTATCTACAAAGGAGTAGGAATTAAATTCTCTCATGAATAAATTTGTTGGAACCACATCTTTATGAGAAAGGAAAGAAAAAGCTAGTATTTGTCACAGTAAGTGACTTACTAACTAATGAATTCTTTTTTTGTATTGGTCAGAAGAATTGTGTTTTCAGCCCATTAGTTTTAGTCACTATATAATTTCTCATTTGTGACAGATTGATTAAAATCACGCTGGAGTTACTCATTATCATTTTTCATACAGCACTTTCCATTCTAAAATGTAGACTAGTTCCAGAAGAGAACAAAGAAAATATAGTGACTAGATTAGTCAGTTAAAACAAAAATGACAGAACTACATTTTCTATATTCTTCTGATGCACTTTTTACCTTCGTACAGGAACTATGTGACTACATTAAAATTGGTGTCACAATGATTTGAATTAAAACCCAACAGAAAAGCAATGTATTAAAAAGACAAGTATTGATGGACCTTCTCATTAAGAAAGAACATGAAGGAAACAGTGAGATTGAAGGTGAGTAGGGTATTGAAACATTTATGAAGCAAGGATATCAAATGGGTTCATATCTCCTGGAAAATGTTTTGTGAATCCCAAATAAGTCTCAGAGGCATATTAAATTTGCACATTTGAAAGAGTACATTACTGATTTACCATAAATTAATGCTAGGTTTAGTGCTTTACAAGAATATTCTGTTTAAATTGATAAACCCTCAGTTACAGACAGTTCTCTGATTTTAGGAGAACATCTACATTCTGGAAAGGAGTGGGACTTGGAAGCTATGGCTAGGTTGAAAATTAAATAACAGCTATTTTTTTCTTCAATACATAAACCTTTAACTATGTCAAAACTCAAGCACTACTACTACTACTAAATAATCACAAAATCAATTTTATTCACTTCAATATAGATTTTCGTATGGAAATAATAATTACTTATTATCATGACTTCCAGCAGACCATTCACATGGCTGGTGTGTACATTTCTTAATAGAAACCAGATATCTAAACCAGCTGTGTTTAATTTTCCCCTAAGTTATCTAGTTATTTGTGAAGTCCAGATATAGCCTTAATATATTTGCCTTTGGCTAAAAAAATCACAAAAGGCATTGCCAGGGTGGTGTTTCCCATTTCAGAGCTGTTCATGCTTTTAATTGGTTTACAGTAATGTTTAGCTTTCATTTTTCTGTGATAAGATCCTAACCTCCCAATGTTCAGTCTGTTCATAGAAGTGTCTTTCATAAAAAAAAAAAGCAGCAACAGAGACGAAAGTACATCTTTGCCCAGCCCCCTACAATATACTGCATATGTTGGATCTGAAAACTTTTGAATCCCACTGTGAAAGGAAGTAAAACTGATGTAGGCTTTTTGGTCTGTTTTGCAGGAAGACGAGGAAGCTGGGTTTGCATGGTGGATCCTCACACAGGAACCACAAGGGCATGTACATTTCTTCCCATGCTCATGAGTCATAAGAAATTTAGAACAGAAATAAATATTCACTAAAAGGTAACAAAACCATCTATCATTACCTCATGGAAAAAAACGGGTTACTAGGATGAGCTTTAAAACATGCATCTGTTTATTCCAACTAAGCCAAGATATTAGGAAACCTCTAGACCTGTCATTGATGTATTCTCCATTGCTGTGAATCTGATTTTCCAGTGTGAAGTTGAAGACGAAATGTGAGACCTCCTCGTTGTGGAAATGTTTCACTCGGGATGCATACTCATCTGACTGCAGATGTTTAATGACATCAGGAAACCAGACAGATAAGCCATAGTAGCTGTGGAAAACCAGAAAAACTTCAGGCACCAATCTCACTCATTCAGAAATCTGTGCAAGGTGTGAATGAGCAGCTCCCTTGGACACTTATGTTACTGAGCTGTTGCTCCATCAGAATAAAATCCTCCATAATACAGAATTATTGAAAGATGCTGACTCCAGAAGATGTCAGTTTTTCAAAGAAGGTATTCATGGTGAGTCAGGTTTGCAACCAAGAACAGACTAAATGACAAACACAGCATTTTGTGGCAAGATCCTGAATAAAAATGATGATTATAGTGTCAGAAATTTACATGCAGATGATTTTTCTGTCTGTCAAGACTATAAAAAATGGTTTAATCTCAACCACTCTTACCCAAAAGACAGGGTGAACCACACAGCAGTAAGTTTGATTGTATTATCCTTCACTGGGTAGTTGAAGCATCTCATAAATGTCAACCAAATCTGTAAATCATTATGAAACACATTTATTTACATATCTTCATTTATTTTGAACAGTTTTCTTAAAGGCTAGAAGATATCTGATTCTTATTTGCTTGCTTCTTCAGGGCATGAGAGAGAGCAAATCAGCTCTCTGGCCACACTTCTTTTAACGCAGCCCAGGATGTGATTTGCTTTCTCAGCTGCAAGAACATACTGTAGTCTCATATAATTTTTTTTTGTAACCAGTGTGGACTATGTGCAAAAATTCAACCTTATTCTGATCACCTCAAACTTTCTTCATCTCTAGACAGCTTCATTTTACTTTTTCAAATAAACCAGGGATTATCTCAGAAATGTTTTCTTCTCACTTCCCAGTATTAGACAAACGATATTCCATGATTAGTGATACAATCACAGTTTGATATATTGTAACCTACTAGGGCTAGAAATTGATGCCTGCACTATATGAGGAAAATGTGGGAGTACCACAGGGTCAAAGACAGTGCAGTGGAACTGACTGAGAATGGTGTTCTCATCTCTCTCCCTCCTTGAGGAGAGGAGAGGAGAGGAGAGGAGAGGAGAGGAGAGGAGAGGAGAGGAGAGGCAGTCTGTTTTCAAAGGCCCCAATATATATCATGCAGGGATGACTCTGACCCAGGGTCTAGTCTAGTGATATAGGAAAGGATGTGATCCAACCAAGCTCCTTGAAAGCTGGTTTAGTAATATAATGGCCAAATATTATTTTAGTCTTCAAATGCTCCATTTTTGGCCAGTAATTGTAAAAGTAGGAAGGTTTTGGAATTTTTTCTTTTCCCTGGGGAAAATGTGACTTTTCCTAACAAAGTAATTTTGTGACAAACCTTGGTTAACACTTCATCATAGTTCTAGAGAGCTTGAAATGACAGATTTTTAATAGCTGTGAAAAGTTTTGAACTTTTAAAAGATTAATTAATGAGGACTGTTTCAATTTTTGTTGCAAGGCTCAAAGACACTATGTAATTTTGGTTTTACAGAAAAATTAACAAAAGGATAAGAAGCACGGTCCCAGCAAGCTTGTATTAAAATCTGAAATAGCTCTAGAATATTTTTCTGGTAAAACACCTGAAATACCTAAAAAATACATGCAGACACAATGCCTTACAAAGGCATTACGTACACAGTTTATTAATGAATAATTTTTATTTTTTATAATTTTTAACTAATGTAGCTGCCTTGTTTTCCTCCTGATAATTTTTCATCTACTCATGTCTCACCTCCTTCCATACACATATATTGATCCACATTCTCAATACATAGTTATTTTGTGCTGTTCATGAATATCACCATGTAATTATTGGCCATCACTTCTGTGAGGACCCATGCAACATTTTCCTCCTCTGAAGCTGGGATAAAGCTCTATGATTCACCTGCATTTTTTCTGGGTCAGGAGACCAAAACCTTACACTGGTTCCTGATTCCCTTAGATGCATGGAAAATGTAGCATTGCAGCTATCAACAGCAGGAGCTCAGCAAATCCAATTTCTGGAAGTTAATTAAAAAGGTAATTACAGAATGAACAGAGATGTTCTTACTTACACCATACAGCTCTGTGCGGATTCTAACGAAACACCTCCTGTACCAAGTTCCAGTATCGCTCTCAATTTCTATGAGCTCATCTATCTGTTTAGGTGTTTTGATTCTGGTAACCTAGAAATAAAAACAGAACAAAAATCATGAACTGCCTACAGAGAAGTATTGGTGGGGTTTATTACATCCCATCTACTAAAAATGAGCAGATACTCAACCTGTGTCTACACTAGACATATTTTAGATTTATGAAGGAATATTAACACATTGTAATACCAAAATCTTTATGGATGTAACAGTTTCAGAAAACTATGTTCAAGGCATGCAGGAAATACATTTCCTCTGGTTACAATAAGATGTTGCTGTCATATTCTTCTAGAGAGTTGTTGCACATACCCCCAATGCCACAAAAGATAAAACATTAATTTCATCCACCAGTTAGCCATGCCCAGAATTTGCCTTCAAATTGCTTCTGACTTGCTATCACAACATTGTTGGAAGGAATTTGATTAAAGACTCAATGATGAAAACAGAAGTATTCAAAATGTCATGAATTTGTAGTTGGACAACTTTTTATTATTTTGTTATTTTTTCTAGTGTTAAACAGAAAACTTAATGAAGAGAGAAGAAGTTAGGTAAAATTATCTGGAACCATGCATATTATTGCTGTTATGAACAATCATCTACTTATCTAAAGTGAAATGAGATAAAGAGACATCAGGGGAAAAATACTGAAAATGACCAGTGATGGAGAATGTAATGCATCCTACAAAGCTAATTTTTAATTTTACTGTCTTGTGTAGCAGAACCAGGATGTGGTTCTGCGACACAAGAGACTAAAAGTGGAAAAAAAAAAAGAAGCCAAAGGAAAAAAAAATAATTAAAGAAAAAAGGAAAAGTAAAAGGCAGAACCACGGTCTTTCCAGACACAGGACCTGACAAACATACTAATGTATGGTTTTTGTTTTAGTTTCTGCTCTGGTCCCAGCTTCATAATGATATCACAAAAGGCAGTGTATTCATCCACAATTTATTTTAAAAGAAGATGAGTCGAGAACAGAAAGAAAATTAATAAAATAGGGAAAGGGACTTACACAGAAGGAAGGAGAGAGCAAGAGACTGCATGTTTGGTGTTTGGCTGCAATTTCAGAAGTTAGACATAGTTTCTGTTTCTCCTTAACAGAATGAGGGCAACTGCTGCCCCCACCTCTAATGTATCACAATGGATTACAGGACATCAGGGAATACCAATATTGATGATAAAGGTCAAGTTTTGAGCCCACTGCTTTTACAGATGTATGCTGTTTGAGATGCAACAGCAGCCTCATCCCATGAACAAGAACACAGAAAAGCCCACTAAGCAGTTTGAGGTATAACTACCCTCATTTCTGAAGTACTTCAGCTCGCTGTTTTGCCAGATCATGACTTTATCAAAAGCCTGTAAACTTCTTGTAATGCCTCTTCCAATAATCATGTCCACATCACTGCACTCATCTCAAGCTTTTCTTAAACTGCTTTCAGGAAATATGTTATGCAACAGACTGAGTCAAATCCTCAAAAATTATCTGGTATCTCCTACCCTTACATACCACTCCTCTGGGCAGAAAAGGAATGCCTTTTGAATCTCACTCTTGTGGGCTTGGGGACGGCATTTTCACTGTACTGGGCACCTGACTCAATTGGAGCTGTGGGATTGAGGGAAACATATGTGTCCTGGGACCACTGTATGGGGCTGGGAAAAAAAGTTCCCTGGCCTTGGTGGGTCTTTAACATATGAAAAGTCCTATCGAGTCAGGATAATAGTCCATCTGGAACATGCAAATTCAGCATGTCAGTGTATGAAGAATGAAAAAACACCCAAACCCAGAAAAGAAAACCTATTTTAATGAAAAAGATGCTTCTGTTTAAAAGCAATGATTAGAAATATGCCATGTTTTAAATTATAAAAAAACAAGACTTGTTGCAAAGAGAAATATTTGCAAGAAAAGGAATCAATACATGGTAATTGAGGAGTGGATAAAATTTTGATTTTAAGGATGCATTTTGATTTTTTTTTTTTTTAACTTAAATATTTAAACCAAGAGATTTAATGAATAGCTATTTTAAAAACCCAGGAAGATAATAAAGCATGTACATAAACGTCTAACTTTGGTAGTTCTGTGATTGAAGATACTATCAAATTATTGATTTCTGTTAGTGTCACTGCTTTCAGGACAAATTCTTCATGGTATGAAGATCTACCCTCTAAATTAATTCAGGAACCAGAATATTCCATTTTGGATTAACTCTAAACTCAACTACTTGTCATTTGATGCCATCTCTTTCTAAAGACATAATGATAATCCCCTCAATAACGTGAGTAACAAGAATAAATGTAACTTGTGGGAAAAAAAGCTTCAAGAAAAAGATTAAACCAATATAATACAGGAAAATGTATAAAAGAAAATTGCACTAAAAGTATAGGTGAAATGGAGAAAAAGTTACATTGTCTATAGAGTCAGAAAACCTACCATCAAAGTGTGTCTGATGTAACTAACAACATTAAGTGGAGGAAAGTAGTAAAACATAAATCATAGAACGGCACTGGATAAGCAAATGAGGAGTATAGAAAGCATGTGAATAAATTAGTGAGACAAAATGTCACAATATTGAGGACTAACAGAAAAAAAACCTAAAAAGATTTGTCAAAAAATTATGCATAAGATCTTTGCTTTTTGGGTTTTATGAGATGAAGTGCTGATGTTGTTCAAAAAGAAGAGAATAATGCATTTTCTAATCAATTTAATGCAAGCTAAAAATAGGGACTTCTATATATGTCTAACCTTGACACACAGAGCAGTATTTCTAATCTCAACTTGATATATGGAGTAGAGTTTTCCTAATGCTCAAGGCAGAAGCTGGAAAAATTAATGGCTGGCCAATTTACAAAAGTGACTGTAGATAAAGTGTCTGAGCGTCACATTTTAACAACCATAGAGACAAAGGCTTGTTAGATCACAAGAGCTGGAAACAACAAGCATGTGCCCTGCTTTGTTCTTGACAGCTGCTTTGGGACGTGATTACAATTACGTCAAAGTGACGTGAGAGGTTTATCCTTTCCCCCACATTTTCTCCTAGCACATTTCTGTTCTTCTTCCATGTGCTTAAACCAATACTAAAGGGGGACAGGGTCAGCACTATGGCTGACTGTGAAATCAGTCAATGAATACCAATAGTAGCAGAAAAAAACCAAACCCTGGAGTCACCAGGAGCAGGCATATTCTGTCTGAAAGCTGCTCAGATCAGCAAGAGCCAATTGTGAAATTACACTGTAGCTGTATGGTGCTAGGCAAATCCCTTTACTCATAAATTAAATCAGAAGATAAAATATTAGATTAGGTGGGATTAGGGGTAGGTCACCAGTGTGCCAACAAATGTGGATTTAACATGGTAAATGTGCTAACTAGCTTTCTTTCAAGTTAAATATAGGAATTCTTGAGCTTCTTTGTGGAAAGGTTTAAATGGAAGCAATGGAAACTACATTCAAGGCAGCAATAGCAAATCTCAGTGGAATATAAGTTATATGGTCAGATGGTCGTTCCTCAAGACTGCCTGCAAATGCAGAACCTTTAAGAGGATTTCTTAATTGAGTTACATGTGTGTTAAAATAAGAAGAAAGCTTCCGGAAGAGGAACAACATCCCACACATGGCTCTGAGGGTGCACATACTGCCACAGCACTGCACAAGCTGGAGAGGCCAACTGGATTTCAAAGCAAGAAACTGCTGTTTGATACTTCCCTGTATCCAAGAAGACAAGATTTTTATGTATAGTCATCATAAACAACAAAAATGCTATAAAAAATTATATTTTTCAATTGGCAATTTCTCCTCCAATAGAAACAACCCATCAATACTTTAAATAGTGTTTTATAATTAAGCCTCAACAAAATTATTTTGAGCCTCCCAGACATTCTGAGAACAGTAAATGTTTGAAATTACTATTTCATAGAAATGAACATGTAATTTTTAAAACCATTGTGTTACCTGATAAGAATGGGGAAAAATTCCAAATCTCAAAGACACAACGGCTAACCAATTTTGACTACGTGTCTACTGTTAGTACTAAAGGTCAAAATTTAATAAATAAAACACAGGTAGAATCTATTAACTATCTTGGTACAACAGATAAAATTATTATGCTGTGGCTTTATACATCCATGAATATCATGCCCAAAGGCTGATTTCTTAGCAGACATTGTATATATAACAATTTCAGTAGGAATTCACAATACTTTTTATTTAGGTATTTAGAGTGCCAAAAATTGGCTTAGCCATTTAGAGAATTAATATTGATTGCTTAAGCTGTCCAGACCTCACCAGTCAGGAGGCTTTGCTGATGTGATAGGTGATTAGCTTTAAAAGCAATACTCACAGTGAAGACTTTCTCAGGCTGACCACGAGCACGCATGTTTGTGTCATGAATTTGCTTGAGTATCATCCAAGCTTCATCATGTTTTCCAACCTAAATGTTAGAACAAAACATTAAAGTGCAACATACATACAAATAGAGTTACTACCTATAGTCCCTGAATGATCTAAATGCCTGTTTGGTAGAAGTCATGATATAAAACAGAAATAATTTTCACTGGAATCTAGAAACCATTTGGGAAGTTATACCTCCAGCAGGAACCGTGGGCTTTCCGGCATAAAGGTGAGGGCAACCACAGAAGAGACACAAGGCAGTGCACAGACAATCACAAATACTCGCCAGCTGTGGAACTGGTAGGCAGAGCCCATGCTGAAACTCCATCCTGTGGAAGCAGAAATTCACAAAATGTAGACAAATAAGGAGTATTATATGTGTTATCCTATATATGTTGCTTCTTGTACATGCAAAATGATACCTGTATTTAAATGAAGCCTGACTGATATATTTCCACAAATACTGGCCACCTAAAAAGCAGTTTTACACTATGACTTTTAGCCTCTTGCATGTGACTAGTCATACTGGAAAGTGGTTGTATTATGGATGAAAAACTTTCTTGGTTTAGGGATGAAGACGCTTCTTTCAATTCTCTTAACAAAATCCCTATTAAGGTAGTTATGTGAACCAAACAGGAGCACTATCACCATGCATAGGAATATATATACAAAAAATAGTTTTCTATGAACAATGGAAGTGAAGAGACTTAAAAAACTACACACAAATTACGTATTTTATGGAATTGTATAGCTCTTCTTAACATTAACTTTTTCTACAAAATTGATTTCTTTACTCTTAATAAGAATCACTCATGTGAAACTGGTGGACCAGTAGTTCAGCTTTATATTAAAATATCTGGTTGGTTGGTATATTATGACTGGACTATTGAAATGTTATAGTTATAAGAAAACTAAGAATTTATCCTAAGAAAGAGAAAAGTATTATTTGGCAACTACCTGGCCTTTTAGTCTGGCTTCAGCACAGCAGGAATTTTCAAGCAAAATTTTCAAGGGTAACTTATTAAAAGGTGAGTGGAAGATAAGAACAATGGTAAAGGACAGAAGAGGTTACTGAAAGAAAATGAAGTCTTGGGTAATGAAAGAACTGTTACACTGGATTAATCTATTATTTGCTACCTGATTTTTCTAGGCAAAAGACAGTTAGTTAAATCCGTCTGGATGTCAGTAAACAACTCGTAGGACATAGTAACAAAAGGCCTATTAAATAGTTCTCCAAAGGAGGTATTTATGTGAGAAATATAAAGTGTTTTGGAGTGTAAAGATTCTATGCTGTGGATCATAAACACATTATTGGGAAAAAACTTCTTTCTCTATATTAATGTACTTACACATTACCACATGAGAAATACGGAATTTTTTTTTTTATTTTTTATCAATAGTTTGGTGAAAAATCTTGATGAACAGATGTGGGAATGTGTGTTTTTCTGGTCTCCTACAAATTTCCTATGTTTCTGAAATTATATTACTTTGCTCTGCAGCCATTTAGCACTGCCACCTTTACCTCAGGGAGAAAGGTATAAAATCTGTAAGAATATTGACAATGATCTTGGAATCCCATGTCATTTTTTTCAAGTAAGGCTCCATATGGACATTACTGCTCAAAATATCCTTCCAACTGAACAAGGATGTCTAAAAATTACTGTTAAATTTTATTCAAAAATATAACCTGGAATTAAAATTTACAAATAAAATTGTAAACAAAACAAAGACAGGAAAGTGTATTAGAATTCACTCTTTATTGATTTTTGGAAAATGTTAACATTTGATCTTATGGAATTTCAAGACTTAAATAATGTGGGTTTATTTTACATCTAAATTGTGAAGGAAAGGAAGTAAAGAAAGGTTTACAGTGCGTTAATGAAGCAATTAGAGATCACAGCTGTATTTTGGATATTGTGTACACATTTTGTTCTAATAATTAGAATAATCTACTTCATTACGTAATTTAAAGTATAGAACAAAATCACCTAATGCAGAATTATTTGGTGAAGTTATTTTTTGGTCTGACAGTGAGCTGATCTGAATCTCTGGGAAGCTGTGCAATTGCTAGTGTTGCAGGGAAGGCAGCACAGGGTAGGAGTTTCTTTCTTTCAGAACGTTCAGTATCAGCCAAGGTACTGGCTTTTGTTGTTACTAAAAACTGTTCGAGAAATACATGAAACCACTGGAATAGTTAAGCAATCTGCCTTTCACAGCTCCAGTTTATGTTTTATGAGACTGAGCTGCACAAAGGAGAATTCTGCAGTAAATGAAATCAACCTGACTTTATACCTGTTATAAAGCAACAGCAACATCTTGTGCTCTGTAGCCAGTCCTGGAAAATGCTCTTGGTAATTTATTTTTAGTTGTCATTTATTAATATAAGTGAACCATACTACACTTAATTAAAAGCAATAAATGCGCTGTTCATTCTGCTGTCATTGTGACAACATACAAAACATCTTTTTTACTTCTCAAAATACCCGAGGGACATGTCAAGTGAAATGTTCATTATAGTTTTTATTGCTTTTGTTCCATCTTTTACACTATGTACTGTATTAGCTACGGCAATTTATTTTGTGATTTAATATATCTGCCGAATTAATGATAAAGAGGAATGTCATTATTATAAAAAACAATTTTAAGAAAAAAAGCTGGAGCTGCACAGAGCTTTCTGGAGGTTTTTCCTCCCATCTACTCCAGCACCAGCACTAGATCAGCAAAACAAACATGTATTTCAAATGCACAGCAAGTTTGGATTTATTTTTATATTTAACACATCCTTTTTCCCTAGGTCATAAGCTAATCTGGATAATGGAGCCATTAGAGCAGCTCTGAATTTAGCTCACAAAGTGGCTTTCATTCCCATTGTATGCAAGTCTTGGAAGTAAATGAAATTGTGTTCTTGGCTGTAAGTCAATCTCCTTCTCCCCTGATTCATGGCAAAATAGCAAAGGCACAGCAGCACCACATGGCTGCATTCAGCGCACTGCTCAAAACTGGAGCCGACCTTCACCCCTGCTCCCCAGCTATGCTGTACTCAAGAGTCATTAATCTTGAGAACAGGAGCAAGTCACAAGGTTTTATGAATTGCAAAACATTTGTCCTAAATGCATCTTGGCAGTAATGCACTGTAGAGCAACCCAAAACCTGCGATGGCCGAATCTGAAGCTGCTGCAGGAATCTTTGTGCTAAATACTACCCTCCTGCCTTCCTGGCTGCTGGAAAAGGCCAAGTGAATCACAGACATGGCAATTACTGATTACAGAAACACAGGAGCACACAGTGGAGCAAAATCAAAATGTACAAGATGCTAATTTGTAGCCAATCACCAATGTATGAGTTGAGCACAATGTCAACAAAATCTTGTCTCACAGAACAGCATACTATCAGCCCCATAATAATAATATATAAAAAAGATATTATAAAGTTCTTGCTCCAAAGGAAAGAAAAGATTATTTGTCATAGACTTCCTGAATATATACAGAGGGAAACCTGTCCACATTAAGATGAATTTTATGAATGTATAACACTTGATAAACAGTAAGTACATTCAAGCACATGGGTCCTCTCCTACAGTAGACATGTTACTAGAGAGCAGGTTTTTGGGGATGATTTGCTTAACTTTCCACACTAAGGGTTGCAAGGAACACCATAGATGTCTACAAACTCATATATGTTACACTAGATTGTAAAGTGGGCAATGAAAAACAGGGGTGGCCACAAGCTCTGTATAAATACTGGCTGGCAAGGAAGCAGTTTATATACACCAGAGGAATAAAGTTGTGAACACCTTTCTATGACACTAAGGTTGGCAAATCTAATCCAATCAAATACTGTGATTTTATGGCATGGTTAGCTAAAGACTGAGCATATTGACAATTTTTGTTCAGTATGAGTAAGAGGAAATAATTTCATGGTAGTGTCATAAATTGCCAAAACCTGACTTTTCATAGATTTCTGTCTTTTAGTAGATCAAAGGAGGGAGTAGATGCAGAACCATATTTAAAAATTACAGATGGGAGAGAAAGAGAACCAATGAACTTACATTAATTCACAGACTTCACATATTATTCCAAGGAATAATTTACATTATTTTATAGCTTTCCTTATTTCTGTTTTACCACACAACCTTTGGTCAGAAGTCAGCTTTCTAGCCCTCATTCTCAATGTTTTTGTTTGAAATATTTACGGGAACTAAGAAGCAAGATTGCTCTAAATTGTCACTTGGTGGCACTGTTACCGTACTCAATCCAAATAAAGCTTAAAACTATTGCAGGAAGACTTTTGCTATCAAATGCTGCTGTTTTGTTGAGTATTTCCCAACTCTAAGCCAAAGCAAAATTATGAGGACTGGAAATATTTTGAAGCTCATATCATTTAAGTACCTTATTATTGCACTTATATTTTTTCTTCCCTGGCATTACCAAGTTTAACTGTCAGTGTCATTTTGAGACCATATATTGTAGTGCTACTCATTAGAATTAAAAAAAACTGAAAAAGAGAAAAATTCAGGTAAATTTTGTAGCGGAGGAAAATCTGCTACACATTTTTACAAAACTGGATGAAAACAATGATTTTAAACAACTGCAGAAATGATCTTTTCAGAACTCTTCAGCGCTGTAGTACTGTGAAATTCCAGTAGCACAAAGTAGAACACTTGTCTTTTCTGTGATTAAATTATTAATATCACATGGGAAAAGCAGTGTTATTTTTAGCCTGTATAGAGACTTAGATACTCTACAAATCTAGTCTCAGCAGGTCAGCTACTGGTAATTTCTGAAGAAGGAATTTGGAAATGAAATTGCTGAAGTGTGGCAGGCCATGATGGAAGGAGCTGCCACTTAAAACATGATGAGAAGGAACAAAGCATTTTCTAAAGACACATTTCCTCTGTCACAGAGGAAGGGGTTTGTAAGCACAGACCCAAGTCACTCCTCTGTGCTGACATTGATATTTATCTGAAGACATACAAAAATCAAGTCTCCAGTCACTCCTGTGGCAGTATTTTGTATTCCAACAATCCCCAGGACAGCTGCAAGAAGAATTGATCTTGCATAGAAAATAATTTGCTCTCAAATACTATTAAACCCATTCCTGCATAGCAGTATAATCCAAGTGTAGTACCTCTGATCAGCCATATAAAAAGTTCACTTTTTAAATTTCTCTAGTACCTGCTGTAGAACTGCCCTGAATATTTTACTTTCCATTAAGGAGGATGTTTATGTATCCTCATATCCTCAACAATGATATGGTATGATTATGTGCCCAAAATTTGAGGTTTAGTAATGACAAGTAAGGCTTTCACTTACACAGAAATGTAATAATA